TTTTAATTTGTGCGGTTGCCATGACAAAGGGAAGTGGGATTGTATAGCCCTAATGTCTGTGTGGGGGGCTGTTAAATTGAGGATGGTAGATTTTGAAAGATTAATTTTAAAGCCGCGCCCCCCGCCTTCATTGCGATTGCCCGAACACGCGTGGAACCCTGTGGTGTATTCGGGTGCAGGGCCTGATTAAGGCCTGAGGCTGTAAGAGGGCCCAGTCCTGGGCACCCCTCTTGGTGGAATATGGGGCAGTGCAGGGTCCTTGGGGCCCCGCACTGCCGATGGGCTTCTCAGCAAGGGAGGGGGGGTCCTGTGACTCACCACTCCGACTCCTGGACGCCTCCCTAATAACATGTGGATGTGGCGGGAGAGAAGTGTGTCAAATGCCCCGCCCCCTGCACACAGTCTGGCTGCAGGGGTGTGGACATTTTTTTTTTTAAAAACTACTTGTCCAAGGGCTAAAGCGGGGGCCAAATCTACGTGTCCCTCATGACAATATACTTGTCCCAATACAAAAAATTGTTTTAATCAAAACTTGGGATGCACCGATATAGGTTTTTGGGTATCGAGCACGAGCAATGATTCTGTTTGCCCGGGAAGCCTGCTCCATGCCATCAGGAAGCTGGGCAGCAGGTAATTACATGCTACCCAGCTTCCTGATTGCCGGGGAAGCCAACTCCTCCATGTTTGGCCGGCTTGATCGGGATTAGCCAGGAAACCGGCTTCCCAGCCAATCAGCATCGAGCCAGCCAATCGGGAAACCGGGCGGTGAATAATGGCCTGATTGGCTGGGAAGCCGGCTTCCCGGCCAATCAGGAAACGGGGGTAGGTCATTAGTCGCTGCCCCGCTTTCTGATTGCGCGGGAAGCTGGCTCCATGTTCCACTACGGCACAGCCGGTCAGAGGAAATCTTCCGCTGACCAGAAGCTCCAGTATTGGGGAAGGTATCGGAGCATTTGGGCGAGTACAAGTACTTGCCCAAATATTCTATATTGGTGCATCCCTAATCAAAACTGTATTTGACTGTGCTAAATAGTGCTTCTCATTGGTCAGCGTGGTCAATGAGCAATGAGTGCTTGCAATTTGCCAGCAAAATTCAAAATGCATAGGGCTGGACTGTTTACCGAAAAGTAAGTTTTTATAGCCGGGGGGGGAGGGGTTCTGGGAGAGGCCGGGCCAGATTTGATTGGGTAATTCCATTTTCCCATATTACTTGGGAAAGAGAGCTTGCTCTTTAAGGAGGACTATGAGGTGAGTGATTTCCACTGATCCTCATAGTTCGAGCTGACGTGTGACAATGAAACTGTCACAGGTCGGCTCTGTAGATCAGGAAGTGAGGCAACACATACCGTCGCTCGCTCACTTCTTGATCCTGTCCCTGCAGAGCCGTAACTGTCACGGATTCTCCGCGCTCCGATCCTCCAGCATTGACCGGAGGAACGAACGGGGGATGGGGCGGGTACAGCTGGCTCTGCCTCTAGATAGGCAGATCCAGCTGTCAATCATGCAGCTGGGTGGATCTCGACAGTAATGTCAGGATCCGTGTTGGCTGCGGCGGTCTCAGTATATAGTGAGCTGTAGCTCGCGGTATACTGAGCTTTGGGTCACTGGAGGATGCTAGTTTATGTCCTCCTGTAACCCTTAGGGGAACTATGGGGAAAAACACTCACCCCATAGTTCTCCTTTTTAATGCACATTGTGCGTGAAGGAGAGTTCTGCTGCTTGGCTACCACAATATGGCGCAAAGTGGAATGGCTGCAGCACTCAACGCACAATGTCCTATGCATGCATGCATTTATTTGCATGCAAAAACGGTGGCAGCGGGGTTGGTTTTTTAACTTTTTTTTTTTTAACATTATCATTTTTTATAACTTTTATTTTGCTAATGTATTTTTTCTCCCACTTAATTTTATTCCTATCACATAGGGCTTAAAAACTCTTTTGATAGTTTGGAGGTGACAGGTTCCCTCTATGCAACCTGCCCCCAACACAGAACTGATGTGATCACAGCGCCACGGTCTCAGTGATTACACAGAGCAGACGAAGAAAGTCCGTTCTTCGTCTGCTTTTCGTGCTCTATGGTGAGCTCGTGTGCCGTGGTCGCGGCGGTGACGGATACAATAGCCGCCGATTCTTTCATACAAGTGATCTAATTAGATCACGTGTATAAAAACGAGCGACTGCCCCACGCTGTACATTTAGCTCTGCTTGTCCGGAGCAGGGCTAAATGTAAAAAAAACTCACCCGGCGCCCGAAACTGCGATAGGAATTCCACACCCCTGGGCTGGGCTGCTGTGAGGCTCTGGCCGAGTGCGTTGCTAAGCCCTGAGTCCAGTGCGTTGCTAAGCCCTGAGTCCAGTGCGCTGCTAAGCCCCCAGTCCAGTGCGTTGCTAAGCCACATTAGATGCAACAGATTCCTCCATCTACATTTAACTGTGTGGATGGAGGAATCTCCACCTGGGCCAATCTGTTGCACTTTTTCCATCTGACCACAGAAAATCTGCAGATAATTGTAAGGTGTATGGGCACCTTAGTCATCTGTCTGCATTACTGAAGAATAGAAAGTTAGGTCACCAGCCTGGTTGTTCTGTCTGGTCTGAATCTTGGCACTGGGTGGACAAAAAATGTATAAGGCCTGGTTCACACCCGGGCGTTTTACAGCGCGTTCCTACGCTCTGTAAAATGCTCAACATGTGAAAACCAATGATTGCCTATGGGCATGGTTCCCACCTGGGCGTTTTACAGTGCGTAGGAACGCGCTGCATAACGCCCTACGCCCAAAGAAGTACAGGAGCTTCTTTGGGGCGTATTTGCCGCGTGTTTCCATTGGGATACAGCCAGGTAGCCCTGCAAATCGCGTTAAAAACATGCGGCGGGAAACGCGTATATCCGATACGCCTAGGTGTGAACCCAGCCTTAATCATTTTGGCAGTCAAAACAATTCTTCTATGCATCTCAAATGTGTGTCCAGCTTTAATATAAAATGCTGTGCTAAAAAGTATCGTCTAGAGATATGCAGTGATTTCAGCGAAATCTATATTGCTAAGGCCCATTCACACTGAGCGGAAAATCCTGCGATTTCCGCCGCGCGTTATCGCGAGAAGTCGACGTCCAATGATTTTCAATAGAGCTGTCTTAATGTACAGCTTCATGTCGCGGTCACGCCTGCAGGGCCCATTTTCCCCGTGGATGTCGTGCGAATTTCCTTTTTTTTATTTTAATGCAGTCCGTCGCGCTATGCCGCTGCGTGGAAATCCGCTCGAGGTAAGTGTCGCTTAGTGTGAATGGGGCCTAAGTCAAATGTAGCCTTTAATTTCACCATATCAAAGTTAGTTTAAAAGAAGCTTATTTGATCGCCTTGAGCTATTTAAAGCAAATTGCATCCTTAAAATACCACCTTTTTTAATTTCACATTCCCCATTAAAGTGACACTAAACTCGGGAGTTAAATCTTAAAAAAGCATTCCAGTACGGTAAGAAAATTTTTATTTGTGTATCACTCAGCTGTAGATCCTCAAATCATCTCTGAATTGGTAATGGTGTTGTCTTTCCTTCTGGAGGGTGAGAAGAAAATGCTGAATTGTGTGCTTTTCACAACTGTTAACCATAGATGCTCAAAACAGAAAGTGTAGAGGGTAAAGTTCAGCCTTTCCTGAGAGAACAATGTAGGCTGGCCATATGCTGGTAGATTTTCATACAAATGTTAATATGAAGTGTACGTCATTATCCTTCGAACATTCCTTCGAACATTCGAGCACACAATCGGAGACTTGTGGCATGTAATTCTAAATTGCATTGGACTTTAATATTTAATTTTGGAAATCGAGTTTTCCAAACAAAAAACCACGTTTGTTAAAAAATAATTTTCCATCCCGTTCCTTTTTAATTTTGTCACTATGGTCGAAATTCAGCGTAATTGTCTGGCTTCAGTACTTTGAAGCACTAATCCAAAATAAATATGTAAATAAGGACTGGTGACTTTATATACTTGTTCCAGGTCAGCTGCATGGAAAACAGGTTTGTTTTTTTTATAGGAGGCAGCCTCCACATTTCTTAAAACACTTTGAATCCTACACCAATCCCAATTAAACTACTGTAGTATTTTTATATTATCACATAGGGTGCAATATTAGATGCTTGTCCTTTTTTAGTACTGGAATACTTGCTCAGTCCATCTGCCCTAAAGCCTATCTTGCTCCTGACTGTGAATCTCTATTACAAATTATGCTGTGATTGTTGGCATCTTGACAAGAAAAACACTACAGTTTTACTAATACAAACCAGACTGTTCTTCTGGAAGTCCTGCTTCCTCTTAAGGCCCCATTCACACTAAGCAACATACCTTACAAGCGGATCCGCATGGCTGGGATATCGCAACTGTTTGGGGCGACGTTCCAGCGACTATAGCGCGACCTTCACCGTCGGGCTGCATTCAAAAATGGAAAAATCACACGACATTCGCTGTAAAAAGGGTCCTGCTACAGCGACGGGCGACATGGAGCTGTACATTAGAACAGCTCCAATGAATAACATTGGCCGGCGATATCACGCGGCAGAAATGCCTGATATTGCAACGGAAATCCGCTCAGTGTGAATGGGGCCGTACTGTAACTCTAGCCATGCACTGTTCAAATTTTCTTGATAAACCGTCCGAAATTCACACAGTTGGTGTCCCTGTTGGCACCCTTCCACCTGGCATCCTTCCATCAGAAAACTGAAGGATTCTGAAGGAAAATCTTCGGGCCAACAGTGACGGAAGCCAATCATTTGCCATCATTGATCAAATATTCTGACCGGCACACCCACCACTGTCAGAATACGAAGGACAGAGTGGGAGATTTGTCCCATCAGTGTATGGCCAGCTTTAAGGCATCTTTTTTTGAAAAGACGCATTCCTTTTTGCCATGTCCTAGGAAACGAAAATTTCAAAACCGACATTTGATGCCCTTTAGTTCTGTAGCAGAGAACCAACACCAATAATTATTTGTATACTTTTGTTGCCAGGTGGCCATTAAGTCAATCCGCAAAGACCGTATAAAAGATGAACAGGATATGCTGCACATCCGGAGAGAGACTGAGATAATGAGTTCCCTCTGCCATCCTCATATTATATCGATATATGAAGGTAAGAATAATCACTTCCAGTAACAGATGATTCTCTAGTAGTATTTTGGAAACTAAATCCTTTAGGCCCGGTTCACACCTGGGCGTTTTGTAGCGCGTTCCTACGCTCTGCATAACGCTCAAACACCGTAATCCCATTATTTCCTATGGGTATGGCTCCCACCTGGGCATATTACAGGCCGTATGAACACGCTACAAAACGCCCTACACCCAAAGAAGTATAGGAGCTTCTTTGGAGCGTTTTTGTCGCGCGTTTCCATTGGGCTACAGCTAGGTAGCTAGTTTTTTTTTAACCGCGAATCTCGCGACAAACGCGCATATTCGATACGCCTAGGTGTGAACCCAGCCTTAGATGTCAAAGATAAGTAGTGATGTGCAAACCCTTGATATAAGTAATATATCAATTTTAGATTATTGCCAACATTTATTGCTCTAACTGATTAACTGTAAACATGATACGGTGTGGCTTCTTCAGTTGCTACCGCTAACCTGAACCAGTCCAATTTTGGGAAGTCTCTTGACTGACTGAGATAGCCAAAACTACAAAGTTTTGGTCTTTCCAAACTTCTCCTGTCCGAGACCTGGGTCTCTTTTGAATGTTTCCTTGTTAATGCTTTTGGAGTCCCTGTGGGTGAATTACATTGCCTCGCAGTAATTGCCAAGTTGATGTTGGATGCCTTTAGGAGGTCCAATATGGGCCTTGTTCTACATGTACCGTTTTTTCTGTTCTTCTCCCCACTAAGGCAGTCTTTGTTATTTGACTTTAACGTTGCTGCGTCGGCCCATTGGTTTCGTTTACCTGCTTATTGTATTCTGCTTATGTGTTGGAAGTGAAATTTTTGTGAAACAAAACTACAAAGTTCTGAACATAATAGGGATGGGTTAGAACCTTTTTATCAGGTAACTTTTTGCTGTCTGCCTGGCTGTGGAAATTTCCACATATTTTCTATCCTCAAGAAGCAACAGAGAATGAGAGGAAATCTCCGCAAAGTGAGAATTCCCATCTTAGCACTTGTCATCAGAGGTGCCCCCATTGGAATATTTACCCTCATGTCTTGTGAAAAATGTAACATTTTGGATTTTCTTTCACTTCCTCTATCGGTAACAATGTATTAAAGGACACATACATGGTTATATCTCCCTAACGGGGACATACTACAATAAAAACCTGATAGAAGGTTTAACTAGTACACAAAATCTGAACAAAAAAAAGAGTTTTGCTTTTTTACATACACTTAAAATAGAGTTCATAGTAGCAAAGCTGATGTAAAGTGATACTATGAGTTTGGATTTTCCACTTTTAATTATGATAAATCCACGGCCCTTGAAACAGAACATGCTAGAGAGTGACATGCTTGTACAGGTAGATAAGCTGCAGGATACAGGACATGGCCGTGCAGGTATATTTCTAACCCAGCAAGCCGGTTTAATTCCTGAACTGACTGAAAACTGAAACCAATCATGTTTTGAAATGGCTGTTCTGACCCAGCCCCTTTAGTTAATCTGCTTCAAACAATAGCTCTGTGTATGACACACACTTGCTTATTAAAGGTTGCTTGTATTTAAACAAAAAACATCCCCCTCAAGGCATAGAACACGTGGCAATATTACCCAAGTCTACAATTACCTTCATTTTAGCATAAATATGTAATAACACCCACATGCACTGGTTGAGAAAGGGCTGATGAATGAAAAGACATTCAGAAATTGATAATAAAAAAAAGATAAAGGAAACCTGTGCTAAGAGATCTAGAAATGTCAGTTGCCTGGCTAGTTCTGTATTCAATACCTTGAGTCACTGATGCAGTGCAGGTGTGCAGCCAATCTAGCTGATTTTTAATCTTTTTTGGTATCACAAATCTGATCTTGAATTTGTGACTTTTGTTGGCTGAGCAATAGAAATATTGCGTCAGAGACTCAAGCACTGTATACAAAGACGGTGGAAGTGGTTCACACTAGGGCTGCAACAATTAATCGACATAATCGATTATAATCGATTATTGAAAAAGTTGTCAACTTTTTCAATAATCGATTAATCGGCTTCTGATCAGTTGGCCCTGTTCACGGCTCCACACGCTGCGCACCGCACCTCCTCCCCAACTCACGCTCAACGCTGCCAGACCCGCATCCACGCTCTACACGCCGCACCTCCTTCCCGCCTCACACTCACCGCCCGCCCACATTCTCCATCGGCACAGGGACGCGGGGAGATGTAGTAAGGAGGAGCAGGTGTGGGGGGTTGACAGCGGCAGATTGACAGGCCCAATCTCAGAAGCAAGTTGCTGGAAGACTGCTCAGGTAAGCCTGCACTTTCCCACACGTGGTGCTCTATAATGTATTGCTGGGATTTGTATTCCTCTATAGCTGATGGTACATTGTGCTGTATATTATACATAGGAATACAAATCCCAGCAATACATTATATACTGTATGTATAATGTACTATCGCTGGGATTTGTTGTACTCTATAGTTGGTAATATTCTGCACTGCGCTAGCTTGCTCCTGTCAATACAAACTAGTAGTCCATCACTGGAGCCATTTTTAAAAAATGTATTTGATTGTTTATCCGATTAACTGTTTAATCGAACTTAATAATCGGCTAACTAATCGATTTTGAAAATAATCGTTAGCTGCAGCTCTAGTTCACACCTTTTTTATATTAAACAGATGCTTAAAGAGAAACTTTACCCATATCTTCAAAATAACAACAAAGGCACCTTAAGAAATGTTTAGTAATGACAATCTACAAACAAATACTAATAGATCAGGGGTGGCAAACACAAGACACGCGGGCCGGATCCGGCCCGCCGGACCTTGTAATGTGGCGCCGCACAGCGCTGCCTGCTGTTAGGATGGCGGAGCGGTGAGGGGGAGAGAAGCCACGCCCTCACCTGTCAGGATGGCCGAGCGGGTAATTGCGGTCGTCATCGGAAACCCGCCCTTCGGGGGCGCGGCTTGCGATCATCGCAAGTACGATCTGCCTGTCCAAGATGGGCAGATCGTACTTTTTTTAAGTACCTTACAACCATCGCAAGACAAAAGTCTTGCGATGGTTGTAAGGTGTGTGTCCAGCATTAGACATGTGACCATGCACATCATCACAGGGAAGAAAAATGCCTTTCCCTGAGATCTCAGGAGATTTCCCAGCATTGTAAAAGAATTTCCAAGTAAAATTAAAAATATGATTGTTTAGCTAATTAATGTAAGATTTCATATCGGCATGCAAAGCTGTATGCTGATGTGATTTTGTAGTCAAAGGGGGTTAAAGGTCCGCTTTAATATGAAAGGCTAGTAATCCTCATTAATTGGACTCTCCTTTTGTGTTCCTGTGTTTATTTTGTGCTGCAAGGTCTGGATATTAAGCAGCTAAAAAGGAGCTAGTTTTACTTTGGCCTGAATTTTTTTTTTTTTTTTTTACTTCCCTAGTATAGAACTGTGAAAGTCAGACCAATAGAGTAGGTTATGTTTTCTAGTCGGGTACAGAGCGAAAGTACATACCACAGAAAGGACATGGGCCACGGTTATCTCTAAAGCAAGATAAGGTAGGGCTGTAAAGTTATAAAAGAGCTCAACCATCTGGCATACACTAGTTGGTGACATTCTACTGCCTGGATGAACTCCAGTGCTCTGCCTTTCTAAATGCTCTTCCACACATATGTTGCAGAACTAACAAATGCTAATGGAGCAATCCATCGCCTCCCTGTTTTTTCCTGTTGGGGTAAATGTGTTAAAATACATTTTGCACATCTTCACCACAGTCTGAACCAAACTCGCCCTGTGTTTTAGGAGGATTACTTGCAGAACAAGGCCATAGAGACATGCTCTTTTGGATTCATTTTTAGAATAAACAACTTTTTTTTTTTAATCTGTACTTGTGCAGCCTCATATCATATATATCATATATCATATAGTGTGCAGTTTTATATCTGTTCTTTTTAGAAAGGAAAAATAGAATGAGGTCACAGCTTTTTTTATGTTTCCCCCCCCCCCCATCCCTTTTCAGTGCAAATTGTTTTAGGTAATTAAAGTGTATTTAAACCCAAAAACCAACAAGTCATGTTCCTCAGATGTGGTGGCTGCATTCATTCTTACTTTTCAGTCAAGCCAAGAGTCACCTGTCAGCGAAAAATATTTTTCTTAGAGAATAAAAACCAGCCAGAAAATAGACAAGTCTTTCCTAGATCTCTCAAAAGATTATTTCCCATCAATGAGAAAGCAGTTGAATTCCAGGTTAAATGCCCTATGCTGGATGACATTTGCAAAAGTGTCCAAAAGTCTGCAGTCTTGAATATTACAAGCCTGTTGAGGTGGGCACAAAATAACTGGATCAACGGGTATTTTTGTGTACTTGCAGCATCCCTAAAGCAACAAAACATGGAGTAATGTGCATGTATTGGACTGATTTATTTTTGCCCAGCCATATACTTTAACTAGTTGTTGGCTGTCACTTCATGTGCAGCACATGGTAATCTTGAAATCAAGAATAGTGATGACAGCACCATACATTTTTGCAAATGATAATGCACAATTGCTATATGTAAACTTTGACCTCTACCTACAGATTTTCAGTAATGAACAAACCTGCAGTTTATGAAAGAATATAAGAACCCTGTATTCTGTTTGCTGCAGAGGTTGTGTTAACTGCTTTTACTGACAAAAATCAGCAAATTTACCATTTGACTAGGGGTACCCAAACCTGTACACATTAATACAGACTTTTTTTTTGTATTTTACCCTATATATGTGTTCTTATATTTTGCATACTGAATTGATTGTTTCTTCCACTACAGTGTTTGAGAACAGCAGCAAGATAGTGATTGTTATGGAATATGCAAGCCAAGGGGACTTGTATGATTACATCAGTGAACGGCAGAGACTCAGTGATCAAGAAGCAAGGCGATTCTTTCGGCAGATTGTATCTGCTGTACAGTATTGTCACGCGGTAGGTATATGCTGGTCAATCAATTTAGTATTCATGAGAAATATGGTACATGTTACCAAATCTACTATACTTTGTTAAAGAAGAACTCTGGGCAAAATATTTATTGACCCTTGCAGTGGGGCTACCCCCACACTATAAAGCAGTGGTCTCAAAGTACCGGCCCACGAGCAGCCAGTTCACAAGTCTGGTACGCAGTCACGGACCGCGTACCAGACTTGCGGGAGCAGCTACACGGTCTGCATCTCTGTCAGATGCAGACCGCATAGCTTCTTCTATGGCGGCTTGGATCCTTTCGGCTGGTGTCTTCGCTGAACGCTGGCCGAAAGGATTGATTAGTAAGGTCTATCGTGGCTCACAGCCTCCTGCAACAAGACTTTAGGTGCAATTAAGGATTTCTGCATCAGGAACATGCGTTTAATGCAGCAGGAATCCCTAATCTGGCATTTAAAAGCGGCAGCTGTCACATATTCAAGTTAATGATCAGGTTGTTGCATGTAAATGCCTGCACAACGCATGTAATGTGATATGATTACATTCGGTTAGGAATCAATCACTCTCCCTGGACGCAATGATTGTGCATTCAGGGAGAGTGTTTTCTAACCGCATGTAATATCACAAACAATTACATGCGGTGTGCAGGTGTTTACATGCAACTGCTGTCACCTGATCATTAACTTGAATAGGTGACAGCTGTCACTTGTAAACACCAGATTAGGGATTCCTGCTGCAGGAATCACTAATCGCACCGACAGATATGAATGTATTGTGTGTATATTGTAGGGATGCACCGATACCGGTATTTCGGTATCAAGTAAGAGTACCGATTTATTTTATTTTTTTCCGGTACGCGCCGAATACCAAAAGTCCCATCCAGGAAGCCAGGCGGCGTGTAATGACTCGCCACCTGGCTTCCTTATTAGTCGGGAAGTCGGTTAGCATGTAAATTCTCGCCACCCGGCTTCCCGATTAGCAGCGAAGCCGTCCCCATGCTTCTAGTCACAATGTCACTAGAAAGCATGGAGCCGGCTTTCTCACCAGTCAGGACCTCGGGCAGCGTGTAATGACGTACTGCCCGGCTTCCTGATACAGGAAGTGTCGGGCTAGGCATCGGAGCATTTGGGCGAATACTAGTATCGGTATCTGTGCATCCCTAGTATATTGGGGTCCGTATTACCAAACCAGATATAGTTGCATTTTATTTTAAGGTATGAAATTTGGCAAGCGGCCCCCATGGGAGAAAAACATTTTGTCGAGTGGAGCCAGAGTGAATTGAGTTTGAGACCCCTGCTGCAAAGGTTAACTGCTCATTTTGGTCTAGGGAGGAAAAAAAAAGTTATACTCGTGATCTTCTAAGCTGGCATGCTCTTACACTGGTCCTTCCAGCCTCCCTCCCCTCGACTCCAGCAGTCTAAGTTCCCTGAGTCATCACGTTCTGAACAGTGTGTATAGGAATGCCCAGAGTTATTCTTTAAATTAGTGACACAAAGAAAAGTGCAAAAAACCATTGTAATTGGCCTTTACTTTACTGAAGCCAGACTAGTACATTGTAAATTCCACTTAGATACTATTGGAACATTTTTGCTTGCACTGTTTTGCATTCTTGCACTGTTAAAAATATGACTTTACGTCGACAGAATGGGATTGTGCATCGGGATCTAAAGCTGGAGAATATACTATTGGATGAAAATAAAAATGTGAAGGTAAGCAGGTTGTGCACGTTTTTTTACACTTTTCACCTTTTATTTCTTATATGCAATTTTATTTTTCATGCGTTTGTTTGTCAGAAAAATAATTGGGGAGAATTTCTCCCAAGTTTTGAGAATTTCTCAAAACTGGAGCAGACTCCCTGTGGGGTGGGTAGGGAGGTGCAGTCGCCATGGTTGGTCTATAACAACGTCCAACTCCAAGCACCAATCGGGCATTCCAGCTCGCCTACTCCGTCTCCAGGAGCTAGCTATTTTTTTTATCCTTAATATATGTTTAGACAGGGTCACCAGCTTCTGCTGACACTACATATCCCAGCCACTGACCCTGTGCGGGGAAGGGGGGAATTTAGCAAAGCTGGAGCAGACAGAATTTGGAGTAGTTGCCCATAGTAACCAATCAGCTTTTCTGTTTCATTTACAAAGCCTAACTGTGTACCAACTAAGAAAAAAAATGGGGCTTTTAAGGTGTCATAAAATGCCAAGAGACCAATTCCAACATAATACCACATATGAATAAAATCACATATATAATCTAAAAATAACTTTCTTTTTACTTGGAAAAACTCCATGAGCCCAATGCAGATAAAAAGTACAATACATAGCCACGGAGCTCAGAATATAAACGACATAGAACCTTCCTGGAACCTGTACTGATGCATATTATCGCTGAAAAGCATTTATTTAATGTAATTTTCCTTAAAATATCTAACAATTTCATAATTATCAAGACTGGATCCATGATTCTGTACTGTCCAGCCTTCTACGCGTTTCGCTGAAGCCTTATCCGGATGTTTGGAGGTAGCCTATAGTATTCATATAGATAAATAAGCAATGCATCAATATTTAACATCATCATTCAAAGCTTAACTGAACAAACAGAAAAGTGAAGCCGATTGGTTGCCATGGGCAACTACCTCAGATTCTGTCTGCTCCAGTTTATTAAGTCATTAATTCCCCCCACTGAGGGCAATTTGTCAAAACTGGAGCAGGCCATATCTGGAGAGCAGTTGCCCAACCAATTGGCTTTAATCTTTCATTTTCCAAGCTTAACTGAAGAGAGAAGCTGATAGGGTACTATGGCCAACTGCTCCAGTTTTGATAAATCCCCCCTCCCTTTTGTATCTCTTCTGCCATAAAAGCTTTCTCTGCCTGCAAGTATTCTGTTCCTAAATTGCAAATTTACAGCTCAGTGTAAAATCCCGGCATCTGTAAGCTGCTGAGAGTAGGTCCCGGGATGAAGCAACTGCATTGTGCTTGTGCGGAATTTGTGTCCTCTTAGGATGGCCAACGAGGAAGGAAGAAGATGGGGCAAACATGGTGGCAAGGGGGGAGCGTTGATGGTGCATTGCAGGAGGAGGACTTACGGAGAAGTAAGCCTGCCATGATGCAAATATGCTGTGCACCTTATCGCAAGAGCTCTGGGTGACGGCAAACATCACTATTTGTCTAATTCATTTGGATTGGCAGGGACCAAGTAGGTCAAGCACAATCAAGGTATGTCCTTGGACTAGTATGTAAACCACAGAAACAAAACTACATCCTTTGTCTCTTGGTATTGCATAGGCAGAATTTCTTGCACATATTTCTTCACTCTGGGCTAGTTCACGCAATCTCCAGACCAGTTCTGGATGCTTTTTCTTGTATGTGTTTTTGATGCATTCTGCTGCGTTTCTATTTAAAATAGTTTTTACTTGGGTTTAAACACGTTCCGGTGTATTCCGGTCCATTTCCATGCATCTTTGCACGTTCCGGTGTGCAAAAAATACATGCTGCTGTCCTTTTAATAAAAGAAAATAAAAGCTCTGGAATTGAATGCTGTGGTGTGAACTAGTCTCATGTATTACCGTGTATGCGTTTTTGGTGCGACTAAAGAAATGTAAAAAACACATCGGTCTGAAGATGGTGTGAACAAGCCCTTAATGTTTTTCTCAACATTTTACTCTACAGAAACTCTCAGCCATATATGTTGATCAGATCTTGTTTCCTGCTATGTAATTACTGCCATAAAGCTTTAAATATATCGGTTTTCTGAGGCTGGGAATTTCCCTACCAGCAAGGTAATTTCCTACAGCACACAGCTGTATTTTGTCCTAGAGCAGAGCTCAAAATTTCCACTCTCCTGCTCGCATTTGGCTAGTGGAAATACAGTGAAGGCAAGTGGAAATTAGGGTCTCAAAGTACCGGCCCTAAGCCGGTACTATGTGGCCCGCAGCCCGCTGACAAGTCAGGCACACGGTCATAGACTGTGTACCTGACTTGCGGAAGCAGCTCCACGATCTGCATCTCTGTCAGATGCCGACCGCAGAGCTGCTCCTGTCAGCTCCGGTTTTCTGCGGCCAGAGCTCTGACAGTTCTGAGCTCTGGCCGAAAGAAAGGATGTATTAGTGAGGTCTGAAGCAGACCTCACTAAAATCACACCATTATTTTAGGTGCGATTAGGGATTCCTGTGTCAGGAACTTTCATTTTTCTGCAGCAGAAATTCCTAATCTGCCATTTACAAGCAACTATCATAAGATAATTTAACCCCTTCATGACTGAGCTTGTTTTTAGTTTCTGTTCGTAAATGACTGACACACTTTTGACATTTTTGCTGTGTGATTCTTCCACGTCAGTAATATACTTTCTTACAAAGTGCACCCACACATATTATATATTGTTTTTTAGAGGACAGATAGGGCTACATATTTATATCACATATGTGCGTCTAACGCCTCACTTAGGACAAATAAAATATAAAAAAAGAGGAAAAAACCGTTTAAAAAAAACACTTTTTTCCCAGTTTTGATTTGTAGTATTTTTTTTACAAAACCAGCACAGCTAAAAAAATGCAATAAATACATTCATTTATTTGTCCCTTATTTTATTTTATTTTTTACACATTTTTTTTTTTTTTTTACACTTTTCACAATTTTTTTTTTTTACACTTTTCACTTTTTTTTAACTTAAAAATGTTATTTTATTTATTTAATTATATCAAGCAGTCATTGTGAATTAATCTCACTGTTACTGCTTGATAAATTAATAAATTTTTGGTGATTATCAGGCTGCTTCAAACTTCAGAACAGCCAATAATAAGTTAGTGACACTGATCCTGCAGCAGTTCAGGATTCAGCTGTTACTAAAGGTTTTCTGATTGTTGCAACAACGATCAGCAAACAAACATTCTTCTTCCAGGAATAGACACATTATGTATCTATTCATGAAAGAAAAAAAAAAAGCCAGTATAGCTTGAGAGAGAGATCTCTCGATCTATACGAGCTGTCAGAATGTTTTGCCGGCATCTGTATCCGCTCTGCTGTGACTCTCAGACACCCGATATTAAGGTATCGGGTGTCTGAAAAAGGTTAACCCTTTCATTAATGAATGCCTCTGTAGTAAGGGCATCCATTAATGAATGTTAAAAGCTGATTCTCAGCGATTAACAGCCCTCTAAAGCAGCAAATAACTCGTCACGTACAGTGTACGTGACAAGTCATTTGGTCCCTTTGTGGCTGGACGTACAGTGTACGTCTCCCGTCACGAAGGGGTTAAGGGTGTGTTTAAGGGCGGTGTTGAGGCTGGGGCAGGGTAGGGGTGAAGTGGGGCAACTGGTGGCGAGTAACTCTTAAAGCCTGGCTAGACATTTGCAGTTGTAGCGCTCACCCCTGAACGAGCCGCCAAAGTAACTAGGGTATTTTCTGTCCCCAAGCCAAAATGCACCGCCCAAACAGGATCCACACCAACATGCCTTTAGAGAGTTTTGTAACGGCTTTACTAAACAATTAGTGTATATGCGTAAGACAATGCAATAATGAACACAATAATTGAAGAAAATAGCACTTAGCAATATACAGTGGGTATTCTGACACTCAGTAGCTGTGGCTGTCCGTGTACTGAAATTTGCAATATTTAACTACCCCAGATACTGTCCTTGACTTTGAATACAGAAATACTAATGTCTCGGTCTCCTCAAATAATCTCAGACTCTACTACGGGCTAGTAGCAATAGTCTAGGCTAGCCATCGCTGGGGTGCATAGTGTATTGCAGATGTGAATGGCAAAATCCCACAAATGGCCTAAAGCCATCTAACAACTTCCAGGATCAGTCAGAAAAGATGTCAGTCAGCGAGAGACGGGCATCCCCTTTGTCTCAAACCTCTGATGATGCTGAAGTCATCTGGGGTCTCTTGAAGAAGGACTCTGGTCACCGAAAGGCACTGTGCAGCTTTCCCTGTTGATACAGTCAGGATCCCCTCGAATTGCTGGGCCTTCTAGAATCACTCACAGTACTGTCTTGGCTGTTCATCCAGGCTGCGATATCCCCGCTGTAGCAGTGTCCCTGGGTCCTGTTGAAGCAATCGTTCAGTTCTCTTTGAGCACCCCAAAACCGCATGAAGTCTCTCGGATCTCCTGGAGCAAGCGTGCTCAGCATTACCAGCACAGAATTACCCCTCTGAGAAACGCAGCCTCCTGGGAGTTGCAGTCTGAAAGATCTCACACAGCACCACCAGTCCCCTGATCTGCACTGCAACTCCCACAAGTCTCTGACTCACAGGATGCACAAGGTCAGTTAACTGTTTAGAAGCAGATTATTGATTATTTCAGTAGCAACTTGTATATAGGGGCTACACAGTCCTGAGGGGGAAAAAAAGTAATGAGCATTCTGAATATACTGTGTAAAATATCCACCTATTTAGCTGTACAGTAATGTAGCTATGAGGTGATCCAGTACCATACGGTAATGTAATTGTCCTGTACATTCCTTCCTGTTTTTTTCTTTGACGTTGGTGAACTTTACCCTGCAACAGTAGACATGTTTGAATGTCTGATGTTGGCAGTGTTCCACTATCTATCTGTGCAAATACAGAAGGGAGGGGTGTTTCTGCCTCATTTATTTACAGGATCCTAAATACAGCTCAAGCAAAATATTCTTAACCTGTTTAAGTCTTATGCCACCATAAAATATAATTATTTCATTTGCAATTTTTTTATTTGTATTTTTTCCTTTTTTTTTTAGATTGCAGATTTTGGACTTTCCAACATCTACCATTCAGATATCTATCTTCAGACATATTGTGGTAGTCCCCTTTATGCGTCTCCTGAAATTGTCAATGGCAGACCTTATAAAGGTCCTGAGGTAAGATTGAGTTATACTTTAACCAAAGGCAGCCATCTATTAAGGCAACACAGATCAGCTGCATTCTGTAACAGAAGGCCAAATACGCTTTCATGCCCTTGTCATACCTGCATTTTTCCCCCCCACTACTTCCCATGACTGCTCACCTGGCCTCCTCCAAGAACAAGAATTGTGCCAGTCCTGGCCGCACCGGTCACAGCCGATCTCTGGACCGGCAATGGCAGTGACAGCTGCTGCTAATATAAGCGATCGGACATCTCTAGAGAAGCCCGATCGCTTGAGTGTAGAGCTCCCGGCCAGCCGTTTAATTACTACGGCCAGCAAGCTACTCGTCCCGCTCTGCTGCCCTCTCGTCACACACTGCATTGCCAATAGTATTGGGACGCCTGCCTTTACACGTGCATGAACTTTAATGGCATCCCAGTCTTAGTCCATAGGGCTCAATATTGAGTTGGACCACCCTTTTGCCGCTATAAAAGCTTCAACTCTTCTGGGAAGGCTGTCCACAAGGTTTAGGAGTGTGTCTATGGAAATGTTTGACCATTCTTCCAGAAGCGCATTTATGAGGTCGCGTACCAATGTTGGACGAGAAGGCTTGGCTCGCAGTCCCCTCTCTAATTCATCCCAAAGGTGTTCTATCGGGTTGAGGTCAGGACTCTGCAGGCCAGTCAATTTCCTCCACCCCAAACTCGCTCATCCATGTTTTTATGGACCTTGCTTTGTGCACTGGTGCACAGTCATGTTGGAACAGGTAGCCGGCCATCCCTAAACTGTTCCCACAAAGTTGGGAGCATGAAATTGTCCAAAATGTCTTGGTATGCTGATGCCTTAAGAGTTCCCTTCACTGGAACTCTTAAGGCAAGGGGCCAAGCCCAACCCCTGAAAAACAACCCCACATCATAATCCGCCCTCCACCAAACTTTACACTTGGCACAATGCAGTCAGACAAGTACCTTTTTTGTCCTGGCAACCGCCAAACCCAGACACGTCCATCGGATTGCCAGACAGAGAAGCGTGATTCGTCCCTCCAGAGAACATGTCTCCACTTCTCTAGGGTCCAGTGGCGGCGTGCCACCACTGCATCCGACGCTTTGCATTGCACTTGGCTTGGATGCAGCTGCTCGGCCATGGAAACCCATTCCATGAAGTTCTCTATGCAGTGTTGTGCCAATCTGAAGGCCACACGAAGTTTGGAGGTCTGTAGCTATTGACTCAGCAGACAGTTGGCGACTTCTGCGCTTCAGCATGCGATGACCCCGCTCTGTCATTTTATGTGGCCTACCACTTCGTGGCTGAGTCGCTGTCGTTCCCAGTTGCTTCCACTTTGTTATACCACTAACAGTTGATCTGTGCAATATTTAGTAGCAAGGAAATTTCACAGATGGACTTATTGCACAGGTGGCAACCTATCACGGTACCGCGCTTGAATTCACTGTGCTCCTCAGGGCAACCCATTCTTTCACAAATGTTTGTAGAAGCAGTCTGCATGCCTAGGTGCTTGATTTTATACAGCTGTGGAAGGGATTTGGAACACCTGAATCTAATGATTTGGAGGGGCATCCCAATACTTTTGGCAATATAGTGTATATGCATACACACACAGTGGGTATAGAGAAGAATCACCCACCTTTTTAAAATCACTTTTTTGTTGCTTTGCAGCCTGAAATGAAGAGAGACACAATTTTTGTTTTATTCAGCTGTATTTACTCAGTGCAACTTTTAAACTTCGAAGTGAAAGATATAACAATGGCAAAAAAAAATTATAAAAACAGAAAAAGGATTAGTGAAGTCTATTACTAAGAAGGTATTTGGTACAACACGGATTCTACCTGGATCAGGACGTTGCTCCAAACTGGATGAAAGCCAGGAGAAAACTGGTCAGAGAGGCTATCAAAAGGCCTACAGCAACTCTGAAGCAGTTGCAGGAATTAGACTATTTACAGACTAAAGGCTGTAATTAAAGCAAAAAGTGGTTCAACAAAATACTGACACAAGGGGGTGACCCTTTTTCCAACTAAGTGATTTCTGCTTTTGCATTATTATTTTTTTCTGACATGTTAGTTTTAGATCTTTCACTTGGTTGTTATAAGTTGCCCTGAGTAAATGCAACTGGATAAAACAAACTGTGTCTGTCTTAATTTCAGGCTGCAAAGCCTCTCTCTCTCTCTCTTCTCTCCTTCTCTTCCCTTTTTGTCTCCTCCTTCTCTTCCCTTTTTTTCTCCTCTTCCCTTTTTTTTCTCTCCTTCTCTTCCCTTTTTTTTTTCTCTCCTTCTCTTCCCTTTTTTTTTTTCTCTCCTTCTCTTCCCTTTTTTTTTCTCTCCTTCTCTTCCCTTTTTTTTCTCTCCTTCTCTTCCCTTTTTGTTCTCTCCTTCTCTTCCCTTTTTGTCTCATTACTAACGACCATAGGTGCATGATTGTTACAAATAGACCAGGTAACTTAATTCTTTATTTTCAGATAATTGAATCTTACGGTTTAGATTTTGTTAGACGAAATAATACTTGCACACCTACTACGATTAAGTCCTGACAAGAGTAAAACAAGTTAGAGGGAGGTAACGTTTTGAATTCATTACTATTTGAAAAGGTGCCCATACACCTTAGTTATCCGCAGATTTTTGTCTGCGATCACATTTTTGTCTTTCCGGCAGGCTACAACATTTTCGTCTACTTGTACGAAAGTGTAAGGGTTAGTGTCATTTTTTGTACAACAGAAATCTCAGCATGAAAATTGCACATGCTCAAATGAAAATCTGTTCTTTCGATCAACAAAAATCGGCGAGCTAGTGGTGCTGACGAACGTTAACTGCGAACTACATTGACCTGTGCATGATGGGCTGTTTTGAACGAAAATTGAGGGTGAAATGTCTTCACACAAAAAAGTTGTACAATGGTTGAAAGGTGTATGGTCACCTTTACAAAGTGAAGCTTGACGGACTGTTGTGGAGTGCATTATTGTCGGCCCTTGGAGTGGTGAACCACCTACTGTAATTCTATACCTAATCTAAAAGGCCATATGCACATTAATTTTGCATTGCGTGTCGAGGTTTGTGTAAAAGTAAATTTTATTCTGTGTTGTAGGTGGATAGCTGGTCGTTAGGAGTTCTTCTCTACATTTTGGTTCATGGCTGTATGCCATTTGACGGGCAAGACTACAAGAAACTGGTAGCTCAGATCACTTGTGGAGCTTACAAGGAACCAAGCCACCCATCTGGTGAGTGACCAGTGTGTATTTGATGCACATTGTCAGGTTATTTTTGGAGCACTGAATCATTACTACTGCAAACAACTGGCAGATGTGTGTACCAGTGAATTGTTTCACCCCATGTAATGCATGCCAGTCTTTTTTAAATGCTTTGTTTATCACAGGTTACCCCTTCTCTAATCTTTTATTTACCACTGCTGACTTCAAATTCACTCTTTTCTCTGCAGATGCATGTGGATTGATTCGTTGGCTACTGATGGTGAACCCAGAGCGCAGAGCCACGCTATCAGACGTTGCTTCTCATTGGTGGGTGAATTGGGGGTACCAACAACCGTTGAGTGAACCAGAGCAAACAAAGGAATCTGATTCACCATTTTCTATTGTTGGGGGATGGTTTAGAAGATCTTCTCGTCCTTTGTGGGATAATGGCTCTAAAATGCGCTCTTTCTTACGCCAGCATCTCCCAGGGACAACTATCACTCGTCAGCGCTCACTAAAGCGTTCTAAAAGGGAAAACATGGGCCACATAATAACTCCGATTCCCCCAGAAACAATCCCATCTGTACCTCCTGCTCCTAAAAAAGGAATCTTAAAGAAGCCCCAGCAGCGAGAGTCTGGTTACTATTCTTCTCCAGAGCATAATGAGGGAGCATTGATGAATGACGAAAATGATGCACCCTGTTCCTCTTATGCCATTGAGCCAAAACATCTCCCAGCGATTAATACTGGCATAGAAGAACCACAGGAACCAGTCATCAGGAAAGGTATACTCAAGCGAGATGGCAAGTTCTCTTCTGCTGGAGCAGCTCCTGAGTTGTCTTTTGATGCGGTTGACTGTTCTTTAAAAAATGACAAGTTACCTGTATGCATGCTTACCCATGAGAAAGTACCATCTTCTTTCAGCCAAGAGAGTATTCTTTCCACTGAGTCATTTGAGTTGTTAGATTTCCCAACCAGATATAGAGATCGTCCAAGACGAAAGATGCAATCTATGAGAGGTAGTCTTTCTGCTGAAGATCTTTTAAACCTCAATTCAGAGGATGACTTTGGATCAGATGGACCCAGACTCTGGAATATGGCTTGCTATCAGGCACGTGTAGCAGAAAGCTGCCTCTCCTTGGTAGTGTCAGAGGAAGAGGCGATGCAGGTCTACAGGACTGCAGTGCTTATTGGTCGAGATCCAAGTTGAAATGGATTTATTTTCTCTTATAGAGATGAGAGGCCATGAGAAAGTGATACAGAGGCATTTCTGTGTCACAGGTGACTTGCAGATTGTACTAAGAATATTTTTATAATGTGGCCTTGATGTTGCCTAGTAGCACAAAATGTGCCCATTGCGGCATCCTGGAATTGGAGTCTGCTGATTTCTTTTAAGAAGTTTTACAGAACTGTAATGAACAGAAGTACCTGTGATGAACTGGATTATTCTTTAAAATTGAATTTTTTTTTCCCCCAAAAAAAAGACAGTTTTATGGCTAACCAGATTCTAAGAGATGCATATTTCAGGTTAATATTTACTCCACTTGCTGCCTTTTGAATTCAGTGTGTCTTAACGGTGCATTTTTTGGGGGGTTTTTGCACTCTGTTGCTGAAGACATGGTTAGGAATGAGGAATTTATCATTGATAATGATAATAATGGATGACTGTTGAATTTATTTTGTTAGTTCTCCCTCCAACATAGGACAGCATAAAAATTCACCATTTTAAGCGTAAACAAAAACAGATTTTAAGCAGGGATTTAATTTCATCTAACATAAGTGTTTGACACTAAACATAAAGAAATCTGAAAATGTGGTAAGGCTTAATTTTCTGCCAGAAGTGATTCAGTGAGAGCTCCTTTAAGCACTGATTAATTTTATGTGCACAGCGTTTGATCCTGTCTGGTACTCAAAAGCAAGCATGTTTTTTTTGTGTGTAGTGTTTGTAGCTACAGCTGAACTTGCACTCACATGACCTTGGTGTTATAATTTGTTTTTTAATTCTGGTTATAGTTTAATGTATATAAATAGCAATTATTGCTTTCCTCATAATTTTTTTGATTATTTATTTGCATTTTTGTTAACATTAAAGGAGAACTATGAGGTGAGTGATTTCCACTCATCCTCATAGTTAGAGCCGACCTGTGACAGAAGCTGTCACAGGTCGGCTCTATCGATCGGGAAGTGAGCAGAAACATGCACCGATCCGCTCACTTCCCGATCGTCTCACTGCAGTGAACGGTGACTGTAAGTCACCGCTCCCCGCAGGGATTCCCCCCTCTCCGATCCTCCAGCGCTGAGTGGAGAAACGAACGGGGGAGGGGACGGGCACAGCTGGCGCTGCCTCTAGATAGGCAGAGCCAACTGTTACTCACGCAGCTGGGTGGATCCATACAATATTGCCGGGATCCGCTGCGGCGCGCTCAGTATATCGCGGACAATAGCCTGCTACATACTGAGCCATGGGTCATGGGGGGAGGTTAGTATATTTCCTCCCGTGACCCTAAAGAGAACTATGGGAAAGAACACTTAACCCATAGTTCTCTTTTAATGTTGTTCAAACAATGGCATGCTGGATTTTTTTTTTCATAATCGGAACCTAAAAAAGTGAAAAGATAATTTGGATCCAGATTATTATACATCAGTGATTGCACTGTTTTTCACTGACATATGGATCTGGACTGAGCACTGAGCTGCACATGCGTGGCTCAGTGTACAATCTCATTTTTTGGTGCTGGAAAAAACTCCTGTGTGCATGCCATCACAGGTCAGTAGCCAGAGCTAGCAACCCACTAGCACATGCAGCAGATGCTCTGATTTCTCTTTAGACGCAAAATTCCCTGATCTACATAGTTCCTCCACTGGAGCTTCTCTGTGTATTATATGGAGGATTGAGCATTGAATTTCCACAATCCTAATGGCCCCAGGCTGGCCTGGAAGCGCTTGGTACCCCCAAACTGGTTTCTTTAGTAAACGGATGCCCTGTGGCAGCTTTCATCCTGACTCAAGTTTCTGTACTGCATCCTTCTTCTCAGTCAATGCTCTCAACATCTGGGCTTCAACAGCCATTCTGTTAGTGCCTTTCTGAAGCAGTCATTGTTACTGTGCTTGGGGCCTTAAGCTTTCTTCATGTGAAACGCCAAACTTTTTAGCCTTAACGTAAGACCTTTTCAAATGCTCGGGTGCTGAGGTTTAGGCAATTGTAAATGGAGTGTAGGGCTGCAACTAACAATTATTTTCATAATCGATTAGTTGGCTGTTTTATTTTTTCAATTAAGCGGATAAAAAAAAATACATACCATCTTTAATTTAAATAAAATACACAAATGGAGTGTCACAAGTTTACTTCAGAATAAAACTGCATGCACAATTTTTTTGCAATCGCACTGGAACGCAGGGCATTGTGGTACTGCATGCTCCAATGCAGGCAATCGCACTGCGGGTGGGAGGAGTGTTTCCACGTAGGGGGTTGGGGCCTTTACAATTTTTTTTCCATTTTATTTACCTTTTTTTTTTTTTAATTTTTTTAAACCTTTTGTTTTTGTTAACTTTATTTCTATCACATGGTGGGGCTCAAAAGCACCCTATGTGATGGCACATTGGAGATGACAGGCTCTCTTTAAGGTGACATTTGGGGGTCTATGAGACCCCTAGGGTCACCTTTCCACTTCAAAGGAGCTATTCAAGCACACATGGATTGAATAGCTTTGGCCAGGGAATGTTAACACAACAGGTAGTGGGTGTGTGTGCAATAGCCAGTTTGCTATTGGCTATTGCAATTTGAAATAGCCAATAGCAGGCTGGCTATTGCAACCACCCACTGCCTGCTGTCAATCAGCACAGGAGGGACCTAAAGGCGAAAGTTCTCCTTCAGGCTCTCCTCTGCTGATTGACAGCAGGCAGTGTGCACGTGCAATAGCCAGCCTGCTATTGGCTATTTCAGTTTGCAATTACAAACTGGCTATTGCACACACCCACCTCCTCCGAGCCACTCCAACCTGTCCGGCAACACTGCACCTGACCCTCCCCGCTCTCTCGGCCCCAGACAGCCAATCTGTGTCTTATCCGATGCACTCTGCTGATTACAGGCGGAGGAGAGCAGCAGGATCAGAGGCGACAGACTGCAGCGGGGCATCAAAGTTGCAATGGAGGGGGGGTGACGTCTGAGCAAAGTTGGGGAAGAGAACAGCTGAGCAGTGTGTTGGCAGCGCGGTGGGGGAAGGGAGAATGGCTGATCAGTGTGTCGGCAGCACGCGGGAGGGGAGAAGAGAAGAATGGCTGGGCAGTGTGTCTGCAGTGGGGGGGGGGAAGCACAGGTATTGGCCTTTATAATCTTTCTGGCCTCTAATTGCTTTTCATTGCTTAGTCTGTAACTCTTTGTCCAAGGTGTAATCCACATTGCACCTTGACCCCCCTTCCTCCGGGGAAATATACCCTGGCCCCAAGGGATCTTAATGTGGCACTCTTTGCTCTACAGAGATTTCCCTTGGGAGGAGCTTCTTTTGATACATGCCATGTTTGTCTCGGAAGGTCTTTTTGCCATCACTTCAGCCTGGAACATCTCCTTGTAAGGTACCTTTTTTCTTTATCTACCACAGAGATAAGTCTTGGGTCTAAACCTTCCTTTCTGCCTAAAGTCTTGTCTTCTTATCTTAATAAGGACATTGTGCTTCCTTCAGCTTCTGTGTGTCAGCCTCTCATCTAAAGGAAAACACTAAGCCCTGATGGGCAGGGCTACCTTGCCATCTTGTCTGAAATTGTATTGTGATTGTAATGTCTTCCTTTATATTGTAAAGCGCTGCGCACTGTTGGCACTATATAAATCCTGTATAATAATAAGGCTTATTGGGGTTTACCCGGGAGCTACAGCTTCCTTATTGAAGGAGGGTCTCCTTGTTTTGTGTTTTTTTTTTATTTATCTGACAGTACTTGTAATCGTGTCCTCCAATGAATGCTGTTAGAAAATAAGAACTAGAATTTTTTTTTTTCTTTTTTGTACTTCTAGTAAAGTCCTGTTCCCTAGCAGTTCTTTGACGAACACAGCTTCCTCCAGTCTTGTATTGATCTTTTTTGTGTTGTTGTGCCCTTTTGCTTTTCCTGGTGTCCAACCTCCTAAAGGTGGCAGCTATGTCCATCCGTTAGAGAATAGAGTCCTGTGTCCTGTAGTGAGCTACTGGAGAAAATGTTTTTCCAAACAAATTATTTTGCAAAGTACACCAGTGTAAATTTTATTAGCTAGTGCTCCATCAAATTGTACAAAAGTTTCTTTATCCCATTTTTTTTAATTATTTAAAGCCTACTACAAGACTACCCCTGTTTTTCTATTTACTAGATGCTAAACTCTGGCATAGTTTACTTGAGAGGCATAACTGCAAGTCTAAAAATACATTTTTAGGTATAGATTATACACTCCACTGTGCACCTAATACAAAGAATTTGGGTAGATGTCTGTATGAAGAATATGGCTTAAAAGTCTTTTGAGGTCCATGATCCTTGCACAATGTTTAGGTTTTCAGTAATTAACAGCCAAAGATGAATCAGGTAAGGGATAATCCATAAAATTGGCCTATTAAATCAATCCTAAAATCCTGGTTGTAGCGCTTGAAGACTGGATTTGTGCAGTACTGGTTTATATACAAGTGTGTGGGGCAAGCCCAAAAAAAGTTGTCACTTATGTTTGCTTTAGTACTGTGCCTATTGTTTATTTGGGTCCAACATTTTCAAAAAAATTAAAAGAAATTCTGAAATTGTGTTTGTGTCTGTCTGTAAAAAACAACCTATAACACACACATACCAGCATTTCAATGTGATTTGCGTTTACATTTGACATGTACTATAATTCCCCCCAATTTTCTGTAAATAGCTGCTTTTGGTGTAACACTGTATACTATTAGCCTATTAGACTTTATCCAACACAGTAGTAAACCACAATTTGTGCAGGTTAGGAGGGGTAACTACAGTTTAAGTGATTTCAGAAACTTTGAAACCTTTGCTCATCCTTTAAATATCTGAAAGACTGAACCTTTAGACGTTCTGCTGTGGAGAGTGAATGCTTCCTCTCCTTGAGCAGGTTCCAAACATTCACTAAAGAAGAGGAAGAAACTACAACTTTAATGGGCTAGCACCCTTATTAAAGAAAAACACAAAATGCTTTATAGAGTGCTCTTTGGAACTCGTGTGGCAGCCGTGATGTACTAAAGTATGTACTTGGGC